TGCCCTCAAGTAGCAGAGCACTGTGCTCTGCTTGCTTCTCAGTTGAATCTATTGGCGATGCGCTGAATAAGGGAAGGCCTCTTCTCCTCACCCTCCTGTTGTTCAACACTAGCAGGCTTCACCATGGCTTTCTGTTCTTGGGCACTAACAGGCATCCTCTCCGACTTCTTTGCTTGCAGAACATCGATAAACTCGTCCATATCCTGACTTGTCTCAGCCAAACTTTCTACCAGCTGTTGAGCATAAAAAGTCATGTCATAAGATCCAAGTCGTCCAAGAAATCCGTTGCGGCCTGAGCAGCACACTGTAGAATCGTCATCGTGATCATAAACCTCAACGTGAACATCCAAGATCGGAATAGTATCGGACTTCTTAGTCTTTTCCTCCGCAGTTCTGGAAGCGTCTTTAACGGACAAGTCGTTCATTTCCCCAAACTCGTCAGTGTAGAGAAGACGATAAGTAACACCTTCCAGTTGCTCGGGCCAAACCTCCTCGATATCATATAGGACACATGTAATTCCATTGTTCCAGCACTGTTACATCCTCTTGGTCAAGCCAATCCCCCCGGTGAGAAACCCAACACTTGCATCTGCGCTTGATGATGAGTTTGTCATCAGAAGATGTTTTCAACTTGCTACCAAAGTCTAATCACATCCTGATGTTATCGAACGGCATTACCCAGAAGCCCCCCTCATTCCGGAGCCCTTCTGCACCACCAACATCAAACAACTCGCAGACTTGACGCAAAACGCTACGAATGAACAAAATTCCGCACACACTTATGTGGCCTACATCTCCTACGCAACGTACACGAGTAGATCAACTAGGGAGAAGCAAAGAAGTCAAGACAAACAGAATCACCGTTTGAGGCGACTGCCCAGATCGTCGTAGTGGTACCTCCACGCGCGACAGTCTCCCCCCAGTCGGCGATAACGTCATTCATTCAAATAACGGTTATTCAATAACCGCGGGTCACGAGAGTCTCGCGGCTATCCTTCGGCAATAACCTCGTAGGTGTAAGCTTTTGCGGAGCCATCACCTTAGAGTCCGTAGCACCTTCCGGCGCTGCATCCGCCATGAGAGTAGTTACTACTCTCATGGCGGACGGAGCAGCAGTACACTCAGTAGTACCATCGGGATTCAAACACATCGGGAAAAAACGTCGACCGTCCTCGCTGTTACTCCCCGACGGTCACTCTCTCGCGTTTGAACCCCGCATCGCAATACTAATGTCGGAACTCCCACCATTCACACTCCCCGCGACTACACTCGAATAACCAAAGTCTCAATGAAAGGTACGAAAGGACTCGATTATTGCAAGTAGTCATAACAACATCAGACATGCTGGGCAATCACATTGCCGTCTCCAATAATAAGCAAAAACCCACGGAATTCGGTCAGTTCTCTTGTCCGTATACGACAACTATAGTATGTAGATGGCTACCGAAGCGAGAAGAGTCGGAAATGATTGATGGCTCGGCAGCTCAGCGTGGGAAAAATCGATTACTGCTACCTCAATTGAATATCCTCTCAACTCTCGACGATCACATAGACTTGATCATATTAGCTGCAATTTCATTCAACTCGGTGGTCGACGCACCCATGATAACATGTGAACCCTTGGGGGAAATATCGGCATAGATCTCAGTCACAATGATACTCACCTGCTCTGGTGAGTCTTCCTCCTCAATGTCACCATGGCATCCTCCAACTCCGCAACACCATCATGCTTTATCTTGCGCCTGCCATCGATACTGCAATCGTCAGTATTGGAATGTATGCTTCAATTTGCTCACCTGAGCCCAAAGTTTTATTTTTTCTTATCATCTATACAAGTTCATACTTTCCCAAACTGTGCTAGGAGAGCCGAATGCATTGCGGAAGACCGATGAGGCGCCCACCGGGTCTCTCGAATGGCCTTCTCGATTGCCTCTCCTCCACCAGCTTCTCAGCCTTCGCTAGTCTTTGCTGCACTCCCCCATGTGACCAGGTTGAAGTTCCGAGGGACTCACTCGGAGAGAGAAACTCCAACTCAGTGTCTAGCAAGCATCAAGCGCAACTCAGCTGAGAGAAGGGATCAACACGGGCTGAACACTCGTCCCAGTCTCAAAAGGCCACCATTGTTGTTCAATCTCCAATTGACGCATCTCTCTGTCGATCGGACTGAGGCCTCTCACTGACCATCACATATATTTTGCCCAGACACGCGGCCACCGTAACCCTCGAGCCACTAGGGTCATATCAGCTTCCATTTGAGCTCCGAATCGCAGTGCCGTCAAGTGCAGCCTACAACCACCATCTGAGAATGGACAACACATGAGACGAACAAGCACGAACTAATCGGAGCACCAAGGAGCACGCGTTGTCCTGATGCAAAAAACGGTTGACTGTGTGCAGTCGCTGTGTTCACGTTCCCATGCACGGTGACAACGGGGCACCTAACTAGGATAGCAAATCCCAGCAGACGAAGTCATTGCTCAGATAAATTGAGTATCCATGGTATTACTTTCTCATATAACGACGAGTGCTGAGTTCGAGCCAGGGTGCTTCGGGTGAAAGCTTACATGCAATGTACATGCAACCGTTTCATTGAGGTTCGCTGGGGGCGAAGTCTGATAGCTACGCACTCATTATTGCTCTTACGATTGTTGGTATCTGGCTGCCTTCAATAGTATTGTGGATCCCCAGACATGTCTCGGAGAACATCATCTGATTCCGAGTACGTCCCTCGTCACCATTGGGAGTCCCTCGCCTGGACTGAGTATGGCATGGACGCTAAGTTGGATGTGCTGATGCGAGTTCTACCAGCGGACCTTGTCGAAGGCCCTATTGCCAGGTTGGTGACATCCTTCTCATCCCCTGTGGTCAGTTGCTTTTACTCAGATTCTTCTATCATTCTGATGCCGTCCCACACATCATGGTAATGGGAGGACGTTCTAATCAGTTCGCCTATCACGACGAATCTGTCATCTTCGATACATTCAACGAGCGATGGGTACTGTACTCTGCTACAGCATGGAGGTTGAATATTCTCATCAGGCGACAGCTGGTCCCCTCCCAGAAGGTTTCAGCCGAGTCGGGGCAGGGTGCGCTGCCCTTCAAGATGGCAGGATCCTCCTTGTGGGTGGCTATACTGATAGCGTCACTAATCCTACTGATCGATGTGACATGTGAGTCTGCGGTTAGAGTGGTTTCTCGATGTTTACCATAATTTGCAAGATACAATCCCGAGACGGGTATGTGGTCGCCTGCAGCGCCCTTGTCTGTTGGTCGTTTCGGCCTCGGTGTGGCTACTGTTGCTAATGGATTTGTGTAAGTCCGATTTTACTGCATATTTGGAGAATGTCTACGTAGATACGCGGTTGGAGGGAATACTGGTCTTCACGGCCCGACATCTCTAGTAGAGTATTACGACCCTAAAGAGGATGCATGGTTCCCAGCACCGCCACATCATCAACTCCCTTACCCCACGGCAGGAGGTCGCCTCGTCTCCTCTCATGGAGGAGTCATGTACGCGGAGATTCGCTGGGGTTACTTCATGTTCCACTTCGGTGTCAGGTTGCACGTTGTCGGTGGCTGCAGTGACACCTTCACAGCGTCGGAGAACATCCTCACTGTTGATATTTCTAAGGACTTTACGAATCTGGAGAACTTCCGCAGTAAAAAACAGTATTGTTTTTTTCTTTAACTTCGATGCTTGATCAGGTTCTAACACGAATCTTCCGGATGAAGTCGGCCGGTGGACTGTTACTCACAAACTGAGTACTCGGCGAGCTGCGGCAGCTGTCTGTGTTGACGAGAATGATAATCTGTAACACGGTCTTGCTACGTCCCCAGGCAGCTGTTTAGTCTTCGCCAGGATCGTCTCCGGTGGATTTACTGAGCCTGGCAGCCCCGAGCGTGAACTCTCTAGTGTTGAAGTTGTAGACCTGAAAGACTGCGGTGCTCGAGCACGCGTGATTGGAGACATGTCCTACAAGCGCGGAGGCTGTATGCGTTCGGATTCGTATCGATCCGTTGGCTCATGTTCTGTTCTAGGTGTCTCCGTTCAAGTCCCAAGCGTCGGTTCTGTAGTGATCGGTGGTGAAAGTACCTTGCAAGGGTCATCCAGCGGAGTGCCTCCATCTCCTGATCTTTTTGTGAATCATGAGGAAGAGGATTTGTGCCGCATGGGAAGTCCTCCTCGGCCACCGTCACCGCGGAATCAGGCGAGATTCATGTCACAGGTGAGTTTCCTGCTCCCTCTCTTACAGGATTGTTCCTCCTGCAGCATGAACCATTTACACCTTTGCCGAATCGATCGAGAGCTCGAAATGATAATCCAGATGAGACTGTTTCACCAGTGGTACTTCCTACATCTGAGGTATGCTCCACACGCCTCACTGTTCATGCTGATGAGTCTGACCAGGTTGTCGGAGTTGGCAAGTGGTCTCTTCTGCCCTTGATGCCCGAGGAGCGCACGGCAGCCGCTGTCGCTGTCGTTTGGAAGATTCCGAGTGGCTTCTTCTACAAACCGTTGGTTGATTTACTCGCTGTATAATTCGTGGTACATCTACAAGCTGAGCGAAGTAACCTGCTGGTCTCGCTCATGTATCCACCAAGCTGAATGCATGATAGACAGTGATAATTTTCACTGAAAGTTTTGGTTGTAGTTTGGTTGTTTGAATTAATATCTTACGAGAATTGTGGCAATACGGACATACGGAAAATAACCGAGATTCATTTGGCTCTATTTTTTTTGAGAGTTCTGCTCCGTTTGCCGACATTCGTATATTGCGCTGAGAACAATTTTGAACGGATTTTATATAGGGACGGTGTCAAACGACGACGTTTTTCCCGGTGAGTTTACTAGCTCGGTTTCTAGAGATGTTATTGAGTGCCTGTAGCATTACAACACTGGCCGCCAAATTCTGGAATCTTCGGGAGATTGAAAATCATGTCCACGTACTTCAAAACCATGGCCAATTCACTGAACCTACTGCCCGCTGGATTGGAACTGGAACAAATATAAGCCGGATAATTCTTGCCATATCATCAAACGATTATAGGTACTAGATCGTGCGATTATCATCATCACTCCGTACAAGGTCACGAGAATATATTTGTAAGCCCAGATAGCTCAGTTGGGAGAGCGCCAGACTGAAGATCTGGAGGTCCTCAGTTCGATCCTGGGTCTGGGCATTTCTATAACCAAGGCTTTGTAGTCGTCTGGGATAGCGATGGTCGAGCTTTCTTCGATCTATAGTCCCACAGGACTCAGTTCCTAACTTGGCGTGCTCATACTGGGGAAGGGAGTCCCTCCGAGGGACTTGAAACTTTTTTTAGGAAAGAACAAATCTGGGAAAGGTCATTGTGTGGAAGGGACATGGATGACGGAGTATTCGTGGGAAAATGTATGGAAGATAAGATCAACTCCGTCATGTGTTGCAAAGAAAATACTGTCAAGTCGCTATCGTCTAGTGGTTAGGACGTCACGTTGTGGCCGTGACAACCCCGGTTCAAATCCGGGTAGCGACTTTTTTCGCCAACGCGCGCACCACCGTCTTTTCGTCTCTTCGCTTGTCTGTCCCATATTACCCCTTCCTCCCGCACTCCAAACCTCTCTTAGATCTCC